AATTATAAGGATGCTATCATGGTGACAGCGGTTTGTATATAGCAGCTTTCATACCTCAGAAGTTCGTAGAACTTGATAATCCATATTTTGTTTACATATGCCTTATTGTCTTAAGTATCTTTTTTTGGCATATGTTAATTGCCCTTGACCTCATTTTCATGGTTTTATGACTGCATTAAAAACCATACATGTTTTAATCTCGTGATATTTCAGTTATCAATAAGAGGACAATTTTATTTGGTATGTAGAATGTGTGTGTCTAATTGAAACGTATACATGCTCGCCTGACCTTGACATCATTTTGTGGTACATTGATCAACATATAAAATTTCATGGTTATGTCAGTTTCGTCGATACTGTAGTAGTAGGTCAACTATTTGTTAAAATGTCTGTTTTACAGTGTTAATTTGACCATGGCATAATTCGATCAGTTTCTATGATAATTTTTGTAATAGGCCAACCATGATGTTTTGTAATTGGGACATGCTCGAACCTAAGTTTTATGGTTCTTTGATAAGTTTCATAGGAGCTATAAGTAATAATAGTATGTCAACACAATTGTTATAAAGAAGTATTCAGTTGACATTGGTATCACCTTCATGGTTAACTTAATAATGTTCAACGATCCTTGACACGGTTAGTTTCTCCAAGTCAACTGTATTTGGTGCATAGAATGTGTAATATCTACTGTGCCTTCTGACATAGTTCATATGACCGCCTCGGTGGTCTCTTGGTAGCTTGTTCGCCTCGAGTGCGTGAAGTCGTGGGTTCGAACCCCATCCTGGTCAAACCAACGACTTTAAAATTGGTATTTTATAATACTTCTTCTCCGCTAAGCACACGGCATTAAGGAGTAAGAAAAAAGACTGGTCAGCTCGGACTCTGATGTAATAACATGTCAAAGGAGAACCACCAAAACTAAAAAATACACAAAGCAATAAACATGATAAAAGCTAAAAGACCGAGAAAGGCAGCCTAAAATTTTGACATAAAAGGTCAAGGGTAACCCGAACATTACGGAATAATGTGCCCAAGTAGGCTGACATGTCTTCCTGCGGACTGATACCTTTTGAACTAGCACATAAATGATCTGGCTTAGCATGTCGGCCTATTACAAAGCATGGTTAATATTCATATTTCATTAACTTTTTCCTGTCCTGAATACTAGTATGCGTTTAATTTGCCACTGGACGTAAAAAGGCCATCCTTCATCATCATCATCACATGGGTTCATAAGACGTTAACTTAAATGGTTAATCAAAATCTAGACTTTACGCTATGTAATGCGCGTATGTAACGTTTGGAAAGTAGGAGATTTAGAGCTCATGGTATAACTAGTGTTCATTTACTTGTCTTTATAATGGCTATCTTGTAAAGTTTTCTTCCCACTTACTAAATAACTTCCTTTTTAGCACACGTTTTGTATGCTAGATAGTACGTTCGCCCGTCCGTCCGCTCGTTCGTCCGTCCGTTTTCAGATTAAACATAAACATAAGATGTGGTATGATTGCCAATGCGACAACTCTACAACAGAGACCAAATGACGTAGAAGTTTAGCCACTATATGTCACGGTACGGCCTTCCATAATGAGCTACATCTATACCGCATACCAAGCTATAAAAGGCCATGAAATGACTAACGGCCTGAATTAAGTACAAGACAATAAATGAAAATAAAAATGATATACAGCAATAAACGACAACCACTGAATTACAAGATCCTGACTTGGGACATGCACGTACATAATGTGGCGGGGTAAATCATGTTTTCGGGCGCGCAATTCGTCTGTCTAACCTGGGTCAGTGGTTTAACAGCACAACATAAGAATAAACAATAAAAAAACAGTTGAAAAGAGCTTAACTCATCAGATCGATACATAGCACAAAAACTTTTTGTTTAAGGTAGGTTAAAGTTTTTATTTAGAGTAGTTGGGATAGTTGGAGTTCACATCAACTTGAAACTTAGTACACATGTTAATTATGAAGAGAACTGTTCAATATTTATGCCAAATAAACTCATTATAGATACCAGGATTGAAATTTTGTATTTGCAAATTAGTGTTTTGACCAAGATCTCAAACGTCACTGAACATGTTACATGTTAAAGCTTTGGTTTAAGATAGTTTGTGGTCATGTCAACTTGAAACTTCCCACATATGCTCATTATTAAGTTGTAATGCCAAAATAAGGTTTTGACCAATGTTTCACGGTTCACTGAACATGGAAATGTGAAAATGTGCAATCGGGACAAGACGTCGTAAGGAAACATATTCTAATTCTATCTTTATTAAATATTCAACATTTATATACAATATAACACAAAAGTAGTTACATCACAATGAGCAAGTACATTATGTCAAATATCATCAAACCAAAATTAAATTTTGAATGCAACTACACCTTAAGACGCTTGTACAAGTAGTTTGTCCTTTAAAAAGTGTTTAACATAAATTGTGCCCCGCACAAATATTCATAAAGTATGTAATATAATGTTTTGAAAGTCTATTTAAAAAGTATAATAAAACCTACTTTATTGTTCATATTTTTTCTTCTAAAGATACAACATCTAGCAATAGATAACAGAACATTGATAAAAATAACATTGACACCTTTGAATGATCTAAACAAATTTAATACGAATATTTCTTTTTATGCTACTGAGTTACAGTTATCCTGGATTTTGAAATATCAGATTACAATCGGTCTAGATCTTTAATGAAATGTGCAAATTTCGAGAGTAGTATGTAATTCATGTGTAAATAGATATAAGAAGATGTGGTATGAGTGCCAATGAGACAACTCTCCATCCAAGTCAAAATTTATAAAAGTAAACCATTATAGGTCACAGTACGGTCTTCAACACGGAGCCTTGGCTCACACCGAACAGTAAGCTATAAAGGGTCCCAAAAAATTACTATTGTAAAACCATTCAAACGGGAAAACCAACGGTCTAATCTAAATAAAAAACGAGAAACGAGAAACACTTATGAACCACATCAACAAACGACAACTACTGAACATCAGATTCCTGACTTAGGACAGGTGCAAACGAACGCAGCGGGTTTAAACGTTTTAATGGTACCAAACCTTCACCCTTTTTCTGAAACAATAGTGTAACATCACAACATAGAAAGACACACTATAAAATATCAACTGAAATAGCTTAACTCAATCAAAGGACATATTAACACCATTGAACATACACTGAACAAATAAATTTGACCTATGACACAATGTAAATACAAAATAAATAAACTATAAGACTTTTCTCGTCCTGAATATGCATGAAATATTTGCCACTGGACGTTAAGCAACCAACAATCAATCAATGTAAGACTTTTCATGTTAAAATAGAAAATGATGTGTTTTATCATATTTACGGCTGTATTTTACAAAAAACAGATTATTTTTGTTTAATTAATTTTTTTTCAACTTTGCCATATTAGGGGAGATAACTCAGATAAAGTAATTTTCATAATAGAATGTATTGTGAATTTACCTATTTCAATATGTAGCAAGAAAACGAATCCGGTGACCCCATTTTTTCTTTTTCTTATCCGAAAGCATATTATTAGAGCTATCTTCTCATATTTTATCTTTAAATTCTATGGGGTAGTTTTCTTTTTATCACACAAAATTGGGTTTTCCATGCATAATCTATACAAACTCTGACAATTTTGCACAACCTGTAGCGTAGAAAAAAGCCAGGTGACCTATACTTTTTATTATATTTATGAAAAAAGCATGATATAAACTACATTTTGACAAATTATTAAAAAATTCTATTGATTTTAATTTAGACCCCCTATCTACCTTAATAAGCTTCATATTCTTAGGTTAACAATAAGTAAAAATGCAATAATGTGCTACTTGTATTTTGAAATAAAGTTCTATTAATATAGATGGTTTGCAGTAACATTGTTCCATATTTTGCAAAGTTCATAATCTTCAATATGAAAACTGCAGTCCAATTTTATGGCAAACAGGATACTGACAAAGTGTACTAGTAAGTATATACAAATGTTTTGTAAAACACATATAGTTAAATTGGACAATTTTCCTTAAAAATAACAGTAACATTTATTCACCGAGGTACATTTTTTTCTATGAACATCTTTATAAATAGTTTCAGTTCATTTTTTAGGCCAACTTACTACTTTGTAGACTACATAACGGTCATACACAATGAGACATCACCGTCATAACATTTAAATACCCAGTATCAATATTAGTAACGTCAAAGAATTCAAGAATATTATGAAGCTAGAATAATGCATTGAACAAGTAGTATCTTTAAAAAGGATATCCGACGTCTTTAGATGGGAGCATATTTTTAAAACATCAATTGCTTATGTGTTTTTCTATCATATTTTAACGTCCTTAATTTGACGTAAAAAATCTGTTAATTCTGAAAATTGTGCACACGCATTCACTTGTCTGCATATGTTGATTAACTTGTGAAGGTATATATAAAGAGTTACTAGGTTTTTCTCAGAGACAATTGACTGTGAAATTAAGATAAATTCATACAATGTAACACATAACAACCTTGAACAACAAACGGTTTTAGAACATGTACGCAAAATTGTATTAATGTGCAGACTGAAATTTCCTTTGAAAAGTGTCAGTGGAAGATATTTTTATAGCATTCGAGCAAATAAAGCTTCAATTGCAAATTAATTGAACCTGATATTAACAAAGATTTACCCGTTACAAACGGCATATATAGACATACATAATTAATTAAAAACCAATTGTTCAGAGAACAATTGAAGGTCTTTCCATTAGTAAGGATCTATTTTGATATGAAAATATTAAAATTTTGTTTTAAATGTCAATTTCCGCGTCAAATGACAGCTTATTGTACGCTGATTCCAAAATTGTATGGTTTTTATACAAAAAGATATAAATAAGGGAGATAATTTTTTACTTTAAAAGATGTTACTTCCGGTATTGTTTGATACTTTACTTGACACTGATTCCAAAAATATATGGTTTTATATACTTTTATATTAACTTAGTACAAAAAATAGCTACTTCCGGTTTACAAAAGGTCACTTCCGGTTGACTTTTTCAATGTCACATTGCTTGCAACCTAATGCAAAAAGTCCCTTGGCTTTATCATGTATACATATGAGGTAAAAGCAAAGGTCAAAATCTAAAACGTTAAATTTACCTATGACCTTGAGCTCAATTTCAAGGTCATAAACCAAGGACCACAAATCAAAAGACTCTAGGCCTCTACTTTATATTGTTAATGAGTTCTATTACCATACGACTCATATTAGATATAAAAGGGGGAAAACTCGCATCAAATGTCTACGTACCCTTTCAACTAAAATTTACGTGTTACGACATGTCGCAACTAACAATTGTGTGAAAATATTTTGTCGATATCTTATATGATTTTTAAAAATAAGAGATAACAAGCCAAAATCAAAATTTTGAACATGACCTTAACCTTTGAACTTGACCTTATTTTCATTTTTTTGGACCAAGGACCTCATATCAAAAGACCCTAGGCCTCTATCACTCATGGTTTTCCAGTTAAAAATACATTTCACTTATATCAAATACAAAAGGGGAAATAACTCTCATATGGAATCTCTATACGGCTTCGGTCAAAATAAAACCTAACATCCTGAGGATATAACGAGCAATTTGGAAAAATAAATTTGTCGCTTTCTTTTACGGTTGCGGAGGAGATCTCATAACAAGAAAAACAGTGTTTGGGGAGATAACTCTTACAAAGAAAAGTGTTCGGTTAAACAGGGTCAGTTTCAAAAGCGTATAGACTGTATTATATCATATACCAAAAAACTAAGCGACATCTTTTGAAACAAAAATACACCGCAAGAAAAAAATTAGGCGGAAGAAAAAAAAAATAATCAGAAGAAAACCAATAGGTCTTTCCACGGAAAGGTGGAAAGACCTAATTAAAGCGCGCGATGGCAATGAAATGAAAACACATTCGCATTGGATAATTACCATTTCAATATCTTAATTTATGTTTATCTGAATGTTTTCATCTCATAGATGTGATACTTTCTGTCCGTAAATCAGTCTACTTTTATGTAGAGTGTGCATATCTTTGTGGATGTTTACATTCTTTAAACCCCGCAAAAATACAGCATAGATGAACGCGTTCTAGTATTGTTTCGAATTTTCCACTAGTAAATAATTGCTATTGTAGTAAAAAGCTATTTATTAAGAATACTTGAATTGTACTATTGTTATAAAGTAGTTTTTATCTCAGATATCTATGTTTAAAACTATCACCTGCTGTACATAACAAAATGTTAAAAAAAAACGTATGTTAGAACATCAAACATTGCATTTTCGTCCAATCAGAATACAGATCAGCGACAACACCCAAGTGTTACCATCGTTTAGCATCATTAGATCAATGGCGAACTATTATCGACTACTTGATGAAAGATTATGCATATTTATAGAATAGATATGCATTTACGAGCTAAAGTATATTTCCTTTAGTCTTAGTAGCAAGTTTTCCTGGAAAATTGCGCACAATCTTTTTTTTAAAGATGCATAAATGCATTAAGAATATCGTGACATCCTCTCCTATTCATCTTGTCATTATTCATGTTTTAGATTCTTGAATATATTATTTGAAACTCGTTAGACTTCTTATTCTTACTAAAATATGAAACAATGTATAAGAAACCATTGTCGTTTGCTATTTCAAGTGGTGTCAAACCATCCGAATTACAGATGTTGGAATCGCAGCCTTTTTGAAGCAACAATTGAACTGCTGAACAAATACCCATCTCACATGCACAGAAAAGAGGTGTTTGCTTATTGGCATCACACAAGTTTATATCACACCCGTTTTGAATTAAAGTTTGTACTATCTCCATGTAGTCACTACGTATAGCTATATGTAGAGGAGAAAGTCCGAAACTATTAACAGTATTTATATTGCATTTTTTCAGTATCAAACAATCTACAATGTCTTTTCTCCCATGTGTGCATGCTATCGCCAAAGAAGAATCTTGGTTATCGTCCAATTTATCAATATCGCAACGATTTGTGTTCAAAATTAAATCAACAATGTCGGCATGTCCTCTTTTGCATGCTATATGAAGTGAGGTTTGTCCATCAAGATTACAAATATTTACATCGCAGCCGTTAGAAATAAGCAATCCAATGCAAGTTTTTTGATAGTTTTCAGTGGCCAAATTTAAAGGTGTCTGATTATCATTGTCGCATAAGTTGATTTCACATTCGTTCGAAATTAATAATTGTACTATAACGGTATATCCTATTGTAGATGCAATATGTAACGCTGTCCTACCATGGACATTTGCGGTGTTTAAATTACAGCCGTGCAATATCAAAAGTTGTACAATTTCCATATTACATCGCTCACAACTTATCATAAGTGCGGTGTTATAATCGTTATCACAGTGATCGATTTTACAGTAATCTGTATTCAAAAGAATTCTAATAATATCAGCATTACCCTCCGAACAAGCTATATGCAATGGACTTTTGCCTTCCACATTACTGCTATTTATATCGCATTGACTTGCAACAAGTAGTTCTACACATTTCGTTTTACCACGTCGACAAGCCAGAAACAGTGGTGTTTCTTCTAGATCATTCATCCTATTCACATCCCATTCTTTACTACCGAGGATTAATTCCAGATAATCGATAGATCCGTCCTCACAAAAAAAATGCAACAATGTCTTACCACCAAAATACTGTACATTAACATCAGCCTTATACTCGATTAACATTTTTGTAATATCTAACTGTTTGGAAAAATATGATAATAGAAGTGGCGTGATTTCACTGTCATATATCAAGAAAGTTTCATTAATATTGATTGCGTTTCCGGATTCAAGTAATACACGAATGATATCTTCCCGTGATTCAGCGATTGCTATCATAAGGGGGCCGTTTGAACTTGATAAAAACCCGAGGCCAATGTCATCGTCTTCATATTTTATTTCTGTGTCAAATAATACATTCGATAAAGTACCTTCTGCTTTTGACTTTGTATCTGAAGTTTGTTCACAATTTATTTTTTTTAATCGTTCCTCTATAATAAAGGTATATAGCATGTCACAGTCGGCAAATACACTAGATACCAATGCCCAAATATTGCCTGTGAACATGGAGAGTGTAGCATCTTGTTTAGACAACAACGCTATTAGTTTGCCTTGGTAATATGTTGTCTTTGCTATTTTATTGGAGAAGACTATACTAAAATTTCGATTTCCTATTTCTTGTATAATTCTTTGAAAGTACAGCTCTTCGTGATCTTTATCAAGCATAATAACAAAATCGTCTTCTGTTAATTCATCCAAAAATTCAAAACTCATTCGTTCAGAAATAAAATAGCTATTTCCATACTTCAGTATTGTTTTCAATAACATTTTCCCAATGAAAAACGCAATAAAATCGAACACCTTATCATGTATCGCTGAAACTGAAGATTCATTTTCCTTAATGAATGTCCCCTTTAGTGTTTCTAGACTTCGTAGAACGAATAGTCTTGACGGCCTGTCTGACATTTCTAATTCCTCAAACACTCCATCAAACATTTCGTTAAACATTATGTTGCATCTATCTTCAAATAAGCTCTTTTTTAAATTGTTGTTAAACAGTACAAGTAAAGCAAGGCCAAAAAAGCACTCTTTATTTTCCAAAGCCATTCCATCTAATTCTGTTTCCAAAAAATCATACGGTTTTTTGAAGAAGTCCGGATTGAACGTCTTTTTCGCTGATAGCTTACATAGAAGAGGAAACATGTCTGTTTGAGCTATTACTTCTTCTCCTAATGAATTTAGACATTCCTCATTTAAATGACACAATCCAATTTCACGTTTCTCGTCCACATCTAATACCAGTTCATCTGAGAGCAGATCACATTCCGTTATTTCAAATGCCTGCATAAGTTTTTGAAATTGATAACATTTGCTTACATGCAGTCGGCATGTTGCAACAATACGTAGTGAATCTTTGGCTAGCCTGATAAGTCGTGTAATAGAAGTTTTTAACCGTATCCAAGAGCTGACTATGCGATTGTCAATGGCAAATTTGCCGCATAAATCATCAATGATTACTATCTGTTTTCGTCCAGTTTTACAAAATTTCAAAATATCTGATGGCTCATTTATTGGTAAAATTTCATATCCCTTCATATTACGAAACAATAACGCTATGTGATAGGCTGTTGCGCTTTTCCCCATTCCTCCACTTCCACTAATTACAACGAATGATGTATGCTCTACTTTTTCCAAAATAGTTTTTACAGTAGATGTCGGAAAGAATTTTTTATTATCTTGTTCCCAGGCAGCAACTTCTAATAAAAGGTTATCTATATAAAAAAAAGTTTATTTATACTATTGTTTTAAAAATTGTTTATGTTATACTAACATATTTTGTGGACGAAAATCGTTATACATTTTAATCACAAATGATGCTGGTATATTGATGCTACATTTACAGTTGAAACTTCCGAGTTAAATTTGTGACATATGTTTATCCAAAAAAATTAAATAACAAAAATACCGAACTCCAAGGAAAATCAAAAACGGAAAGTCTTTTATCAAACGACAAAACCAAAAGCCCAAACACACCAAACGAATGGAACAAAACTGTCATATTCCTGTCTTGGTACAGGCATTTCCTTATGTAGAAAATGGTAGATTAAACCTGCTTTTACAGCTAGATAAACCTCTCATTTGTATGTGACAATTGTCGACTAGAATTCCATCATATTGACAACTATGTGTGAGCAAAACAAACAGACTTAATATGTAAACATGTCAAATTTTGGGGAACAGCAGTCAACACTTTGTTATAATCTTAATCACTATAAAACAAATAACTATTTCAACAAAGAAAATCAAAAATGGCACTAAAAACTCTATAGACAAAGTGGATGTGCAAAAATGAAAGACGAGAATACAAGAACAACCATAGTACAATAAAAAATGGCGGGAAGTATATTTACCGAGCCACGCAAAAAGTATATTACCAAAAATGGAATAAACAGTAAAGGTTGAAAATATACAAAGGCAAATGAAAAGAGCTTCAGCTTCATAATAACACTCAATATTTTCAATTTCAGACATAACTGTATATACATAAGGAGTATGTTCAATCGATAAGATAAGTTCTCGCTGTGTTGAAGACCCATTGGTGGCCTTGGGCTGTTTTCTGCTCTTTGGTCGGGTTGTTGTCTCTTTGTCCCGTTTCCACTCTCAGTTTTATCAATCGATAAGGCCTAAATATGACCCTTATTTCTAGCTTATTTTATAATTAGGATTAAATGGCCATAGTAACATTATCATAGCTTCAACAATGACTAGATATGAAATTAGGTATTTTTGTTTGAAAATTTAAGTATAGCTTTTTTATGACGTCATTATTAGATTAAACCTGAATTTTCCACTTATTCTAGTTTATATATGTTTCTTGGACTGGAAATGTATACCGTACGCGTTGATAATTGTTTTTTATTTCAAATATTATCTTTGTTATAACAAATGAACTATTTGACTTGAAAATTTATTTTGTCGAACCTAGCGCTCTATGTTTCCTAGGGCTAATTGTGGTGTGTGTGATATTTAAAAGGTCCCAACTGAATTGCTTATATGCAGTCGGCATGTTGCAACAATACGTAGTGTGTGATAACCGAGACGGAGGGATTGTGCTTGATTTTCATATGATGAAGAATTAATCTTTTAATTATTTTAATTGAGGTCTAACGCAATCATGTCAGTAACTGCTAGTAGTCCTTTGTTGATTTATGTTGATCAATGTCATTTTGCTTAGTGTCTTCTGTTACCTATTCTAACATCGAACTCGGACTTCTTTTCAACTGAGTTTTACTCTGCGTATTGCTGTGTGTTTTTTATTCCACATTGCCTAGAGGTATTGGGGGAGGGTTAAGAATTCACAAAGCATGTTTAACCCCGCCGCATTTTTGCTTCTGTCCCAAGTCAGGAGCCTCTGGTTTTTGGTAGTCTTGTATGTTTGTTTTTTTAATTTTGGTTTATTCATATGTATCGGAGTTCAGTGTGACGTTCATTTTTGCTGAACTAGTATTCATTATTGTTTAGGGGCCAGCTGAAACCCGCCTCCCGGTGCTGGATTTTCTCAATGTGTTGAAAACCCATTGGTGGCATTGGGCTATTTTCTGCTCTTTGGTCGGATTGTTGTCTCTTTGACACATTCCCCATTTCCATTCTCAAATTTATTTCATAAAAAGATCTTTATTTCCGACCTAGAAATTTACTCTACATTTCATGGCAGAAAAGATTTTCCGGGTAATAAACTAATATCTTGGGTGTTTTAAGTACCTTTTTGTTTTTGTTTTTGTACATATGTTAGAGATACGAGGTGACCTAGTTACTAATGTTTGTAAATATGAAGAAAATAATGTACATTAGTTGTCTTGTGAACTTCAAGGTTGATTTTTATTATATTCAGTGAAACTTTTTTTCAATTTTCCACTTTAGTAATGAAATGAACTAAACTATATTCAGGTACAGTATTATCTAATTTGGAACAAAAAAGGTAAGTTCTGAACATTTGAAAAAAAAAATCAAATCAGTTTAACATAGAGGTTAAGGGGGAAACGAACTTAGCAGTCATTGCTTGGTAACATTTATTTAAAATGAAGCCAAACTATGCATGGATAAATTTTAGTACCTTCTTCCACTGCAGTACAAATAGAATTTCACGAAATAAGATGAAATAAAATTTGTATAATTTAAATAATTTGAACAAAACTTTTACCAACTTAAATAACCCTTTTCGCATAATAAGTGTCAACAAATAAAGCCCATTATCTACTTAATGGTACATTTAAAATGCAAGACTTTTTATAATTATGAATAATTTTTTCATGAAACAAGTTATACTGTATTTTCAAAAAATGACTAACGTTTTCATGAAATGATTGCATGGTGATATAACAACTTAGATCATGCAAGGCGAATTTAGACGAAACGTTAAACAAAGACGAGATAATCACATTAAGATAAGACTAATCTGGCTAGAGATTTTGCAAATCTCCAAGTTTTGTTATAATACACTACAAACTGCCCAGAGTCTGAAAAGACCCTATTTTGTGCTCGACCAGTAAGGTTCAGATAGTCACCTTTTAACATTTCTATAACTTTTCCAAATCAACTTGAATTTTCATCAAAATCTACATCTATCTTAATTATATATTGATCTCACAAAATACCAGGTTATTTGGTAGTTTGTTTTATTGCTGTCAAATTTAAAGATTAAATTTATAGGTATCTATCTGAATTTAGTCCAAACTGAAATGTTAGCTTTTTTTTTACCTATTAATCAAATCCTTAAATTTGACAGCAATACACCAAACTACCAAACAACCTAGCATTCTGTAAGATCAACATGTAATTGAGATAGCTGTATAGTTTTATGAAAATCCAAGTTGATTTAGAAAAGTTATAAAAAAAATGTAAAGGTGACTATCTGAATTTAGTCTGAACTGAAAATTCTAGCTTTTTAACCTATTAATTAAATCCTTAAATTTGACAGCAATACACCAAACTACCAAACAACCTGGCATTCTGTAAGATCGATTTATAATTGAGATAGCTGTACAGTTTTATGAAAATCCAAGTTGATTTGAAAAAGTTATAGAAATAATTAAAGGTGACTATCTGAATTTGATCACAACTGAAAATTCTAGCTTTTTTTTTACCTATTAGTTAAATCTTTTAATTTGATAGCAATGAACCAAACTACCAAATGACCTGGGATTTTGTAAGATCAATATATAACTGAGATAGATGGGCTGATTCAGACCAGTCTAGACTAAATTTAAAGGTCGAGACTGAGTCGAGACAGGTCATGACTGGTCGAGACAGGTTGAGACTGGTCAAGATTGAGTCGAGACTGGTCGAGACTGGTCGAGACTATATTCAGACTATACCAAAATTATCAAGTACTTAATCAGGCTTATTAAGTAAAGTCGAGACCAAAGTCGAGTACAATAAAGTACTGTCGAGATTATGTCGAGTCTTGTCAAGTAAAATCTGTGCTCGACCTTAATGGTCGAGCACAAAATATGGTCTTTTCAACCTCTGAGCAGTTTGTAGTGATAGTCCTTACCACCCTCAAGAAGGTCATTTCATCTAAGATTAACATGTTTAAAAAGAAATGGTTAAATTGAATACAAGAGAGGCGAAAGATACGAAAGGGAAATTCAAACTCATACATCGAAAGTCGAAAACAAACTGATAACGTCATGGCAAAGAAAAAGGTAAAAGACAAACAACAGTACACAAAACACAACATACAAAAGTGAAGATTTTTCGACACAAACCCCACCAATAACTGGGGGTGGTATCAGGTTATATAGAATGGTTATAAGGTAAACATGTCCATCATACAAGATTCTTTTATCTTTGGTCTATTTTTACTAGTCATTTGTCAATGTGTTCGATATTAGATTATTTTTTTAGATACGTTTGTAAGAGAAAGTCGAAATAAAACCAAAGGGAAAATCAAACGCCTTAGCAATGACAAAATGACAACGCCATGTAAAAAAAATAGAAAAGACCAAAGACAAACAAAACACAATACAGAAAACTAAAGCCTGAGCAAAACGAACCCCAACAAAAACTTGGGGTGATATTAGGTGCCCCAGAAGGGTAAGCAAATCCTGCTCCACTAGTGGCACCCGTTGTGTTGCTCAAGTAAGTACAAACCCGATGATAAGTCTAAATCTGTAGGTATATCGTTTTTACGGTTTTTGCTAAAATACGTCATAATGTACTTCATTGTTTCATTAATCCTATTTTAACATGGTTCCTTGCACTATATTTCAAAGCGGCTAGATATAAATAAAGTCAAAGGTATATCAAATGTTAATTTCTTTTTAGTACACCGGTTTTGAATAGACTTAAAACACATTTCGATGGTAAAGTGTATGTTACCAACATATTGGTCTCGATCATAACTGAAGAGAAATTCATTGTCGAAATTTGTATCTGAAGCAGTAAAATGGGTAGTGTTAATGTTAACAAGTTCAAAAAGATAAGTAAAAATAATTAACCTCTTTTTTTTAACACTCAAATTGATTCTTTATTGCATATATTGATGTTTTAACAATAAAACTTGGTGTACAGCATTCCATCAAATATCCCTGCTAAATTTACTACTAAATATCCAGGGAGAATATTCAGTAGAATTAACAATAAATAACATTGGTATAAATATCTGAATAAATAAATTACTGTTACAAACAGTCTTTACTAATACAAAATTTGTATATTATTTATATTTATAATAATATCTGTAATATTACAATATCTATAATTACACAAGTTGTAAGTATTTTTACGGAAATTATTCGTTACTCCGGAATAGGTTTTTTTTTATACTATCTCTAATGTATCAGAAACGAAATGCGGTCAGTGACCTCGCACGTTTTTTTTTCAATCTTTCAATTTTGAGAGTACAGAATTTTCAATCCTGGTGTTTGGATATATTATTTAATGTTTTGAAAATTTGGAATAATGACTCGAAAAGTAAGTTGTTGTACTAATATAATTTAGAGTTTACAACTTAATTTATGATTATTAAATAGATTCGTTATTGATTTGACCCAAATAAATATTGTGTCGTGACCTTTACCTATCAAATGTTTGTAAACTAATTAACCTCAAAATATGACTTTCGCAGATACTACGGTTAATCTTATTTATAAGATAAACCATTTTAATGAAAGAGATATACTCTTATTTTCCGTAAAGTTAACTTCGAGTGTCACTGATGAGTCTTTTGTAGACGAATTGCACGTCTGGCGTACAAAAGTTTAATACTGGTAACTGGTTACAAAACTGATTTTGTTTCGAAATACTTAGGATTTTCTACCCCAGGGATAGATTATTTTGGCTTTTTTTTTGGCAAAACCTTTCGGAATTTAGTGTCCCCAATGCTCTTCAACTACGTACTTTTTTTTACCCTTTTAACTTTTTTGATTCGATCGTCACTGATGAGTCCTTTGTAGATGAAACGCGCGTAAGGCGTACAAAATTTCAATCCTGGTATCTTTGATAAGTTTATTTACAACCACTAGGTCGATGCCACTAATGGTGGAGGTTTGCTCTCCGAGTGTATCTTTAGCCCAGTAATCAGCACTTCAGTGTTGATATGAATTATCATCAATATGGTCATAATTATATATTAACTCTTTACCAAACTTTGATTTTTTTCGAAAAACTAACGATTTTTCTACCCAAGGAATAGATTATTTTAGCTTTATTTTGCAAAACCTTTCGAAACTTTGTGTCCTCAGTGCTCTTCAAATTCGTACTTTATTTGGTCTTTAAACATTTTTGATTCCAGCGTTACTAATGAGTCTTTGGTAGATGAAACGTGCGTCTGGTGTACAAAATGTTATTCCTGGTATCTATGATGAGTTTATTTATATCATTCGGATCCTTCCCCCCCCCCCCCCCCCCCCCCGCCACTAATATCACTTGACACTTTGCCTTTGCACTGATCTTGCCACCCTTGTAGATTATTTGAAAGGTTTGAATTGTCAAAAATCTACGCCATACGTTTTTAATTCAAATATGGAACCACCGAAAAGACATCCTTCAAAAGGAATCTCAGCAGCAAGGCCAACAAAGGAATCCAAAAAGAGTAAATCGATACGACTTAATCAGTTGCTATCAACACAAGGACCACGTACACCATCATTTGCAACGTTTCTACTCCTAATGTTAGTCCCTCTTTTAATACAGGACTTTCAAATCGAAATAGCTAACAATTACATTAAGGAGTTACGATCTTTTCCTGTATTCTATGTCGGATCATATTAGGCTTTTGTTTACTGCATTAACACAGGAAGTTCTAATGAGACCATCTCATATCTACTATGAGTTGTCGGTTCTGAATAAGGTATTTTGCTATAATCATTTCAGATCTCGTCATTTCTAATGAACTGTGGCCGTTATTTTCCACATTACTTATTTGTTTATTGTGATTTGCCTACAACTTGATTCTTTGATTTAAACTGTTTATCTCATTTTCACTAATAACACATGACACTTCACACTTGTATTGATCTGACCACCCTTGTAGATTATTTGAAAGTTAAAAAAAACACTCCTGCATCTTCTGGCAATCTTCCAGCAATTTTAAGTTTTTGCTGCTGTTTTATTAATCTTACCAGGCTGACAAGGAAAAGGCCAGAATCAATATGATATTCGAATGTACTTAATAGTGAAGAAAAAAATCAGCTGATTGATTAGCTAATTGGAATCATATATATAAACGCTAACGGAATGTGTTGTTGCTAATTTAAGTGAGTTACATGTACATTTCACCGGGAAATTCAGGTATGTATCAGCAGAGTTAATTTGATCTGTCAATTTGCATTTTGTTCAGGATTTAGATTTCAAACTACTTATAATTGTTACATGTGTTATTATACCATCGAGAACTGTTAGTTCTGTCCACTAGGAATGCAATACACAAACAGTTTTTCTTTGTTTACGGTCATTATATGTATTGAAGTTGTTGTGTTCATTTTATTGTGATGAAATTATTTTTCACAGTCAAAATGTTTGGCGGGATCTGGCAAGATTAAGGGGTTACGATCTTTTCCTGTATTATAATTTGGATCATTTTTTCGTATTTTACTGTTACGACCATCTCATGTCTACCATGAGTGGTCGGTTCTGAATTGGTACCAGTTCGAGTTTAACTGTTTTATGATCTAGAAATTGTTAATCCCCACTCTCCTGAAAAACTTAACCATTGGGTAATGCGAATGTGAGTCGACGTATTTGGAGGTAGTGGCCCTCGTTTTCTCTTGGAATAACTTTGAGGAACATATACATTCATTGTCACCAATGGTGCACAGTCTTGTTTATTAAATCAATTACAACATTCTGCTTTAATCATGTAAGATCTCGTCATTCCTAGTGAACTGTGACCGTTATTTCACAATTTGGTACCGTTAGTTTTATCAAGTCTAAAATAATTTAAAAAAAAACCAGTTTTAATTATTTAACTCCAAAATATGACTTTCGTAGATACTGCCTCTTTAATAACATTGGAAATCATGCAGCAAGTTGTTCATAGATTCATGAGTATGAATTAGTTACATAATTATTCCAATTCAGATGTAAGTAGCAATTACCTTTTGTGTTATCTTTACTTTCTTCTAACTGACATATTTTTTCCATGGCAGACTGTAATTCTTCGTCAACCTTATTATACTCTTCTTCCACTTTTTCCAATCTTCTTTCTTGTTGTGCAAAGGAAACATACACTTCTCTGTATGAACTATCAAGATCGGATGACATCAAAATATCACATTCCGTCTTAAAAGATGCACCGCCAATTCGTTGAATAGCCTTAAAAGCAAAATTAGTGTTTGAGGTAAGAGTAAGTTAGTTAAAAAAGATACGTTAATCCCGGAGGGGCGAGTTGTAGTTTTCTAAAGCATTGACGATTATCCATTATGTCTCTTACTTAACCCATGGAGGTGACGACAATTTCCTATAAAATTCGTTTCTTAATTAGACCCTTTTATTTGTGAGGATAAATAACCACTTAATTCCCTACACTACTATTAGATATATACAGTCACGAGGATTGTATGAACTTAAAGTATAAGGAATGTGATTCAGAAATTTGTCCGTACTTGACAAAATAAAGCATAATCGAACAAATTTTTCAGTAAAAGATAATGTTGCTGAAATAGAAATATTTAAATCCACTTCTAATTTATACTTTTGAGACTTGACGAATATATCAACATATGCAGTGAAACAAGATGATTACCATATAGTTATTCTAAGTATATGAAACATAAATGGTGTCGTGTCTGATATATGGATGTGAGACATGGATTTAAAATATTAATACAAAAATACAAAGAAACATAACACGAAACCTATAAAATTCAAGACAGCACACTGTCTGTTGCTTTATTCTTAAAAACTGGCTTATATCATTTGAATACTACCTCTGTTCAGAGAAGATAACTTATTCACCTTTGGAAGTTAGTTAATTGTTTAAAAACATTGACTTTATAGCAAATACGCTATAGCATAATTGTGCAATAAACGTCTTTGTCTTATCTGAGTAAAGAATGTAAATAATAGTCAGTTAATCGCATGAACATAATTGGTTATATCATATCAACAATTTATGAAATAAGTATGAATTGGAGTTTTCTCATTTGGATCACTTTAATCTAATCAACTGAAGTATAACTTGAAAATATTGGTAAACACTCGTTATGCTAATGAGTCCGTTACTTGATGATAATTACAGTAAATTAAAAGATTTAAGAAAGTTGAAAATAAACTTTTGTAGAGAACTTTATATTGAAAACTTTCGAAAGAAGTATGCAAGAGTATTTTTTTAGCGAAATTTTCCCGTGTAAAGAAAATTAAAAAATCAAAACAGTTAAAATGGTTTTGATTGTAGATTATATAACTAATTAAGTTATTAGCTTGTTATTACTTTAATAATCTTCTGATTGATAATCCTTTTTTAGTTTTGTTATAAGTTAACTTCGTTATAACATAACTATCTAGTGTTCCTTTGCTGTATCCTGAAAATGACACTTAATGCATTTGATGTGTCTGAAGCAGATTACTTTCACTGGGAACGTATCAAACCTTTAAATCTGAAAGCCAAGGATGTATAAATACAAGAATATATGAGGAGCTATATAAACAAAAATTAATAGCAACATCACTTAAAGAACATACCTTGACTGTTGGAGCTAAACGTTAGTTTCTAAACAAGTTTCATAATTTAATAACAGAAAATTTAAGAAAGGTATGTTATAACTGATGTAAGTTCGCAAATACTAGTTACATAGATATAAGAAGATGTGGTATGAGTGCCAATGAGACAACTCTCCATCCAAGTCACAATTTGTAATAGTAAACAAATATAGGTCAAAGTACGGTCTTCAACACGGAGCCTTGGCTCACACCGAACAGCAAGCTATAAAAAGCCACAAAAATTACTAGTGTAAAACCATTCAAACGAAAAAAAAACCGGTCTTATCTTTATAAAAAAACGAGAAACGAGAAACACTTATGAACCACATCAACAAACGACAACTACTGAACATCAGATTCCTGACTTAGGACATGTGCAATCAATTGCAGCGGGTGTAAACGTTTTAATGGTACCAAACCTTCAGCCTTATCTGAAACAATAGTGTAACATCACAACATAGAAAGACACACTATAAAATATCAATTGAAATGGCTTAACTCAATCAAAAGACATATTAACACCAGTGAACATACACTGAACAAAAAAATTTAATCTTTGATACAATGTAAATGCAAAATAAATAAACTAAGGGAAGAATAACTGTTTGTGCTAGTTAAGTTGTGCATCTCGACAAACATATCTCTGACCAATCCTCCGGGTTAAAACATCCATAAGACAAACGTTTCGGCGTTAAGAAATATAAAACCGGACTGCATTTTCAATTTTGTCATTTTTTTCTAGCAACATTTATGACGTATTATGTAAACAACAAAGCTGAACTATATATAATTATTTTTGTGATATGCACATTATCTCAAAAACAAACTATTTATCTGCGGAGGCAACGTAGCATACATACAAACATATATTACCGAAGTCATTTGGCAAAACACATGGGTCTTTAATTGAATTTAATCGGTATGCAAGAAACGAAATCATTGTGGAATCCAATAAATAAATAATACGTTTGTGAACGTGGAAACCTAAAGCTGGACAGCGAACATTGTCTACAGTTACCTCTGTTGCAGGGAATTGCAGCCAAAGCTTGGTAGAATTACATTCTATACAAATTAAATACCCCTCATCTGTTCGTTTGTAAGTTATTCCTCAAGTTAATTATTAAATAGACAACAATTTTCAGTTAATTAAAAACAAGTAGTTTAATCTTTTATAAGTTTACTGGAAACTAATTTACCTCGCAAACATGTGTCCACATCGCCAGAAAATCTTCTTTATCAATGTAACCAGCTGTGTTATGAGCCATCCAGTTCCGATAATATTTTATCCGAGATAAATCTGCTTCTTCGCTGATCACAGCTGCTGCTGGAAGTATATCCTCTATTTTCATCTTTTGTAAATTGCGCAGTAAACAAATCATTAAAGTCAGATCCATGTCCGATGACTTCACTGTCGCTGTTCCTATAAAACAATTCTATTTGTTTATCTCTGATAGTGTACACATGCAGAAATAATCCCACCATAACCATTTTAAACCACTTATTATGAAACTAAGGTTTCAACTCCCTCAGGCAAAGTTGACCTTAGATGAATTTGGCTATTTGTTTTAGGTACGTTTGTCATATAGCTCTTCAACTGTTTCGGTACTTATACATCCCTCGGATTTCAAATGTTTGGCATTGAGCGTTCCTGATGAAGGTAAATCTAGAAAAGCGCTTCGGACGCATGAAATTATTAAACGTGTTGTTTTCAATTTTTTTTATTATGGTTATTATATGTATTGAATGTTACGCTCATGCATGTTCACATTATGCGATCTTCGTTAACAGGGTTGTAGTCATTACACAAAAATTGCTCAAACAGAATTAAGAAGAACGACTGAAAACGAAACTACAAAAAGTAATAAGTCATTAGTTTTACGATTAACATTACGAATTGGTTGACCGATACGATGTGTCTGTATCTCAGCTCACTAGCGACATGTTTACGCGGTTTTTGATCTTTAGATAGCAGTGTAGTCGTCTGATCTGTTATTTTACCGATTGTTCCCTGTTTCCGAAGTTGTGACATTTTACGAGTGTGGATTAGCATTGCTAGTTATGCATGCATGAACCTGTCGACAGAACAGGTCTATCGACATTTGGAGTTCATGCGATTCCCTCAGTTTTCGTTTGTTACCTTAATGTGTCTATCCTTAATCGATTAACGTGATTAGACTATTGGTAAACTACTTTCGCCTTTATCAATCTAATTTTGACCAGTAAAGAATGCAATCGAGATAAAAAAAAAATAAAAGATACCAGTCTTATAATTTTGTACGCCAGATACGCAATTGGTCTACATAAGGCTCATCATTTCTATTAGAATGGCCTAATCAAATAGGAAGGTAAACAGCACTGAAACCCTAAAATTCCCAAAGGTTTTGCCAAATACGTCTATGATAATCTATCCCCGGGTTTAGAAGATCGTTAGTTTTTCGTATAATTTAACAATGAGTTCACAGTTTTATAAAAGTAAGACGAACTTTCTGAGACAGACATGAACACCTTACAATCTTTCTATACATCGATTAAAATTAAAAATCGATATTGTATCTGAAGAACGGACCTTAACAAAAAAAGTAAACACTAACCATGTAAATACTAACAGCTCGATGAACACTGTCAAACGGAAATGTTTGCAGTTCTGTCAATTTATACACTACTTATAGCTGACCTAGTACGTAAAGTCTTTAGAAAATTACATAATCAGGAAAATACGTTGACTAATCAACCATACAAATGAGGTTTAGATCAGATAAGTCGTTACAGATTGACAAATCATTACTATTTTATACACAGAATATATTTTAACTATTACTTATCGCCGAGTTTGTACTTTCATGAGCAACAAGACGGGTGCAACATATGGAGCATGACCTGCTAACCCTTCTGTATCACCTGAGATCCCCCTCACCTGGTTTTTTGTTAGGTTCATGTTGCTCAGTGTTTAGTTTTCTATGTTATGTCTATATAAATTGTACTGTTGTTTGTCTTTTGTTCATTTTGTTTGTTTATTGGCGTTTTCAGTTTGTCATCGACTAATAATATGACATCCCTTTGGTATCTTTCGCCTCTCTTTTACTAGAACATCGAAAGAATGAACCTCATAATGAAAACGTTGACAAATGAACCATAAAATTAGACCAAAGATAACAGAATCTTATCTGATTGGCATATTTACCTTAAACTCATTCAATATAACAAATTAAGAAGACCATTTACTTATAATATGCTACACAAGGACCTAGTCATGAAAATTTAACATTGAACAATGAACAATGAAAATACTAGGGCTATGGAAACCTGTCAGACGCTTTGGATACATGGATCTAACAACTCTGTCTTCTACTTTCTGTTCTGATAACTATTTCTTCAACAGAGATATGTCTGCCTATATATGTTCAAATTTGTGAATATTTTCTTCCAACTATGATGATTCAGCCAATTCAAATATGTATAATACAGTTTTATGTTCTTTCAAATTGCATTAATTTGTTGATATTTTGGTGTTTTTTTTATCATAATCTCATTTTCTGTAGGATCGTTGTCGTGAGTTGGATATATTTTGCAGATTTTTAGTCAAATATTTTACGAAATTTACTGGTTATTGTGTGGCATAATAATCATAACAAAAATGTATGATATATTTCCATGCTCTCAGCAATTGTTTAAAGAACAATCTTCATGCAATATATTCAAGGCCAACAAAAATTGGAACGCAAATATTCAAAACGTTTAAGGGCATAAGATCTGTAGTTGCCTTACAGAACTAATAAAAGCTTCAATTTTGCAAAAGTGATTTAGCAGTTTATCATAGTGAAATATTTTTTAAATTGAAATTTTTATAAACAGAATGTATTATTACTATACTATATATAAAAATATTAATTTTCGCGAACCATTTAGGTCACAGAAATTCCAAAATATGGCATCAGTACGGAGAGTTGTACAAATAATGTCAATACACAGAACCCCGATCCAATTTATCTTTTGCTTAAAGTATTCATCATTTTCTGTTTTATATGTACTAACAACATTCCATTTTTCTATAATTTCGATTAAAATATTCTAAAACCTGCAGTTAAAATAGGTCACATGCCCCAAATAAACATTCTCCGATTGGTTGAACTACTGTGGCCTCGATGTAAAGCAACGCAAGCCTTGATGTAAAGCACATGCTTCCCAAGAGTAAAGGAGAGTTGTACAAATAATATGAATCTACAGAACCCCGATCCAATTTATCTTTTGCTAAAAGTGTTTGTCATTTTCTGTTTTGTATGTACTAACAACATTTCATTTTTCTATAATTCCGTTTTAATTATGCCAAAACCTGCAGTAAAAATAGAGGTAGGTCCCAACTTAACATTCCCCGATTGGTTGAACTGCTGTGGCCTCGATGTAAAGCAACGCAAGCCTCGATGCAAAGCACAAACTAAATTTTCCGTTGATACACAAAAATTTCCGTTAATATGTTGAACTTCGACCCCTGGATTCAACCAATTTACAAACAGAGATGTTCTAGCGCTCACATGTAATTCTAAGTGAAGTATACGGGTAAAGTCAAGTTTTAATCTTTTACAGTAATATATACACATTTATCATTAATATATTGTCATGCTTCTGCATATTAACTTTTATTTCCGCTGAGCTATAGTTAAATTGTATTCTATACAAATTTTGTTACGTGAAGCAACAGGAGTAAGAATATTTCGCGCCAAAAAAAGAAAATAACCTGCAACATTAAACCATTTTATCATCATGTTTTTGGCATTTCCAATAGAAAATAGCCTTTGGTATCCGCAATTGTGGTAAGTATTACTTATTATTGTTAAGGTTCTCCAGATCTGGTTCTCTTGATCTTCTTGACGGTCAATTTAATCCCATTTATCAATTATCCCCGATGACACTTTTTTTTGACAGAAATGTCAACCCAGTCGATTTGTGTCATGGGTGAAAATATCTGGATCCGCCACTGATATCTTAGCAGCTTCATAGGGCTACGTAGATTTTTGACTACTGAACATGCAGCTAGCCTAGCTGCTAAATAGATAAAATCAAGATAGCAGCTTATAGGCTAGCTACATGTTTAGTAGTAAACAATCTATGTAGTAGCTTCTACTATATTGAACGCAACCCAGTTCAGTAGTTAAATACATGTACACGTAGTTGTGAATTTTTTTTATATGAAACTTCTTTGCCTTTGAAAACAGAGAATATAATCTTTTTGTTTTCGGAAATTCCATTGATGAATCTTTACATCATGGAATAATCTATCACGAGACATTATTATTTGTAAACAAATGTCGAAACAAACACGTGTCGGAAATTTCGATATTCTAAATTTTGGATTATTTTTACAGATTTCGCAAAATATACTACATTCCACCTATTTGTCTTACCAAATTTTTGTCTTGAACTAATATGATCATGAAACTTATTCAATAGACAATACATTATCATCATCTATATATATACATGTATGTAAATTAGCTATACTATAGTCTGCACGAAGCAACACATTGAAAATATGATTTCAACAAACATGTTCAATACTTGAAAAAAAAATACATGCAGTGAAATTTTTTGGTTAAAATACATACATGTATATATGGTTGCATATAATTTTTGTACTGCTTTTTCCCTTCATATTAGTATTACAAAATGTACTAGTGCGAAATTACTCTTACTTCCCAGGCCACGGCCCCAGCTTGTCTGGCAAAACAGCGAATGTACATGTATGACAGTATGTATACTATAAACTACATGTATTTTTAAAATGCATATGGTGTGGTCCAAAGTAAGGAGTATTATGTTTGTAACACTCAGAAACGAGATGTTGATCCCCCAAACCTGTCCTTTTTATACGCCCGTCAAAATTTTGACGGGACGTATTATGGTATACAAATGTCGTCTGTCCGTCTGTCTGTCCGGCGTAAACATGTCGCACCGTAACTTGAGAACGACTTATCCAAATTTCATGAAACTTAAACATAGTTGTTTCTTATGATGGTCAAACGATCTGTATACTTTTTGGTGAAATAAGATTAAAACTTTTTGAGTTACGGGACTTAGTAACTAAAACAGGTGTGTGTTTTTTTTCACCTGTCGCGCCGTATCTCAAAAAACATTTATGATTATTGCTTAAAACTTTACACACTTCTTAGTTATATTAATCTTATGATCTGCATACTTTTTGGTGATGATTCAAAATTTTATTTTTGAGTTATTTAGTATTTTGTAAAAAAAGGGGGAGGGGTTTTTCACATGTCGCGCCGTATCTCAAAAAAAATTTATGATTATTGCTTAAAATTTTACACACTTCTTAGTTATATTAATCTAAAGATCTGTATACTTTTTGGATTTGTTTCAAAATTTTATTTTAGAGATATTGAGTTTTTTGTAAAAAAAAAGGGGGGGGGG